GGGGGGGGGGGGGGGGGGGGGGGGGGGGGGGGGGGGGGGGGGGGGGGGGGGGGGGGGGGGGGGGGGGGGGGGGGGGGGGGGGGGGGGGGGGGGGGGGCGAGATCTCTCTACACGTCGTCGCCTGCGGTAAGTAAGGATGGGACGAGACTGGCTTTTTCTGCTGTAAAGAGGAACGTATTCGATGAAATTATATCATTAGAGCTAATGCGTAACTTCATCGAACAGCAATCGAGCTCCGCAAATCGGTCAAGGAGGGGCGTCAACACCCCCACAATACGGTACAGTACGGCATTCATTCAGCACGAGGATGGGATGGGACTGAACTAACTACAGTGGTAGCTACGGTTTACGAGAAGGTCGTGACAAGCCAGCATTTCTCTCTTGAAACCAGTTTGCTCTTAAACCGTACTGCTGTCTGTGAAATGTATGTGTTTCTCATGGTCGTGACAAGCCAGTTCGACTCTCTTAAATCGGTACTTTCTCTTAAATAGTCTCTTCAACCGTAGCCGCCACTGTACGGCATTCATTCACCACGAGGACGGGATGGGACTGAATTACATTACACAACTCACCTCGTGAGGTCGATGTTGACCATTCCCGGGAGCGCGTGCACCGCGCAGCACTCCCTTCTCCGGCTCGCCTCAATGCCGTAGGTCGGCCTCTTGGGACACCCCGGGTAGCGGCAAGAGGTTGTGGCAGTGCCAGCACCAGCACCAGCAGCTCCGCCCGAAGCACCACCAGCAGCAGCAGCAGCAGCAGCAGCAGCAGCCGGCTGCATATGTGGTCGTTGCTGCTCGATCTGAACCGCGAGATAGGTGTGGTAGAACGGCACGGGCTCGCGCAGTTGGGAAACAGAGGCTCACATTTTCACGACATATCACGAAAAATATAGTGTAGTTGAGAAACAGAGGCTCCCATTTCCACGACAAACGACAAGATCGGTGGATCCTTGCACTTGAAATGCTAGGGAATATACACCGAGAGGTTGCGCGTCAGCGAACAGGGGTGCGATCGATCTTCAAAGCGTCAATTTTCAACAACCGGGAGGGTGCGAGCGCCAATCGACACATACCAGGAAGGCTCTTTCGATGAGGTGTTTCCGAAACCGCCCTTTTCGACAGTGGTAAGCCTCCTGGTTGGGGAGAAATTACGCTTTGAAAATAGTTCGCACCCCTGTGCTCTAGCTGACTCGCAATCTTACGGTAACAACCTACCCGTGCTCGACAGAAACAGAGGCGACGAAAAGAGAGCCTCGACCCGACCTCGACGTTTCGGACCGCCTTCGCGAGAAATTCGAGAAATCAAGTTTGTGAGGAAATACCGTATATGACACGAGATAACACACCCCCTGGACCGCCCGGTGTTTTGCCATCGGGGTTGGGTTTTCGTCGCTTGGCAACGACGTTGTAAAACAAGCCAATTCACTTCGTGAACTCGGCAACCAGGTTACCGTTTTTTTTTTTTACCTCCGTTTTTTTTTTTGGCGGTAACCATAATGGTGGTCGAGTAGATCATGTTGTGCGGGGTGGAGAACCCTCACTCCGCGCAAGGGGGATGATCGCACCACGTTGTGTTAAAATGGTCAAGCACCCTCGAGGCAGTTACACAGTGCTTACAACTGTCTCTGGAAGTGAAAGCACCAGAAAGTAAATTAAGTCATACGCAGCTGTCATCCGTACGCAAGGAAGTAAGCACAAGATGCCGAAAACCCTTAGCAGGATGCAGCGCACCCTTCATGCGACTCGCCGAATATCTCACGGCGCTTCGCGCTTGGTGATGTGAGAGCCTGGTCCGGTGAGAACCCGGCGTGCTCCGTCCCGGCTTTGTAGGGATGCGAGGTCAATGGTCTAACGACTACGGCATGCACGACCATGAGTACACCCCCCCCCTGGACCAATTTTCAAAGCTCGATTACTCCACGACGAAGAGGATGCATACACGAAACGATAGATTTTTGGAAAGATCTCGACGAAACGGTTCCAACGCCGCCGTTTTCGGCACCGTGACTCTTTCTGTTGTTGAGAAATCGAGATTTGAAAATCGGTCCAGTCGGTATGTTATCTTGTGTCATTTACGGTAGAACAGGGAGGGGGACGCAGACCCTTCCCCAACCCTAAGCCTAAGCCTAAAAAAAACCTGCCCGATTGTTTTCTACTATATCCAACGTTTTTGCTAAAAACAAAAAACCTGCCCGATTGCATGCAATATCCAACATGTTTGCATGATGAAAAAAAGTGCGAAAGCTACTGGACGACATTTCTCACCTCGGGGTCCGTACTGCAACCAAGCCGAGCCCTAAGCCCGAAAACCCACTCCCACTGACCAGAGAGTGCCAAGAGAAAGCGAGGGAGAGTGAAGCCAAGTCAAGCCAAGCCAAGCCCTTGGGTAAAAAAACTGGAGGTTTCGCTTTCTTGTGGAACGAACGGAGCCTCCTCGTCTCCCTCTCCCCACTTGGCCCTAGCTCCCTCGATAGTTGTCCCTAGCACTCGGATGGAACTCCGCCGCCGCGTTTCTTCGTCGCTGCTGTCAGCTTGAAGCTGCTGGAGTGCCCGGAAATACACGCATGGGTGTGGAACACACAGAGACGAGAGAGACTGTTAGGGCTGCTGTAGTGCGTCGGGTGGAACCATGTCCACGAATGGATTTTGGAACACGTACTCATACAGATAGCGCCCGCACTTAAGGACTTAGCAGTTAAGAAATTGAGACTCGCAAAAAATCAGAAGCTAAGAACTTGAGCACCGTTTGTGAGCTCGGTTAAGAACCCCACACTACAACCCATAAAGCGGCCATTTGCAACCCACAACAAGAGGATGATCAGCTAAATAAGCACCCCAGTCTCGGCCGAAACTAGAGGTTCTTAAGTGCGGGCGCCATCTGTACCAGAGACGAGAAGAGAGTTTGCGACTTGAGTGATTTTGTGGGTGTCGGGTGGAAACCATGCCTGGAAAGACACGAATGGATTTTGGAACACATGTCAGAGAGAAGATATATTTCTGCGACTTAATGTTGTTGTGCGTGACTGGCGGAAGCTATGTCCGCAAAACACGGTTCGATGGACTTGTAACACATACGCCACCACTACAGAACGCGCCACCACTTAGGAGATGAGAAACTGAGCCACGAAAAAAAAAAAATTGAAGCACTTGATCACCATATGATGTGAGCTCGATTTAGAACCTATATAGCGACCATTCGTAGCATGACTCTAGAAACTAAGAACACCAGCCTCGACCGAAATAAGAGGTTCCTAAGTGCTGGCACGGTCTGTATCGGAATTCATCGTAACCCGTACACTAAAACCTTTAGTAGCCGATCGTAGCATGACCCTACGAACTAAGAACCCCAACCCTGTCCCGAAACTAGAGGTTCTTAAAGACACTAGGGGAAACTGAGCCTAAAAAAAAACAAAAATCAAAGAACTTGAGCACGATGTGTGACCCCTAAACTAAAACCTATATAGCGACCATCTGTAGCCCCCAAGAGAAACTGCTGTATCGTAAAAACCTAAGCCTCGGCCAGGATCAGAGGTTCTTGTACAAGGCACCAGGGGGAACCATTCCGAAGTTACAGAACTTGAGCACCACTTGTGAGCCCCCTACACAAAAACCTATACAACGACCATTCGTAGCACGACCCTAGGAATACAGCCACAACCCCAGCCTCGGCCGAAACAACTAGAGGCTCTTACAAGTGCGGGCGCATTCTAAAGCAGAGCCGATAGAGAGAGTTGACCTTAGCGTTGGTTGCGTAAGTGGGTCCAAACACTTTGTTGTTGGGACTGCCAGGAAGCGCGCGCGCGTTGACTTCGAATCAATCGTCGTCCATCAACCAACCAACCACCGGCCCTTCGAGGGCCTGCGCGCACGTTGTAGCGGAGGGAGTGGGTGTGCAATTCGGCCGCCGCATATTGCCCCGGCAGGTCGCGTGCCGTGGCATGAGCTAGACTGCTGCTG